ATATATATATGTGTGTGTGTGTGTGCTGTTTCTTGTGAAGGTTTATCTAAATGCTACTGGCTCTTTGTACCTCGTTGTTACCCAGCTGAAACCAAGGCTGCTTCCCATAGGTAAAGATCTCCCACAAGATGACTCCAAAGCTCCAGACGTCGCTTTCCGTGGAGAACTTCCTGTACATGATGCTCTCCGGGGGCATCCAGCGAATAGGTAGCATGGTATGTCCTCCAACCTGAGGAGAGGAGAAAAAAAAGAAAGGAGAGGAGATCTTTATTGCACATGAAATGTTATCGCTACGAAAACAGATTAGAACATTCAATCATTAGCACAACTCCCAGGCGCCGGGGGATTAACTGTCCTTCCATGTGGCTGATACGACGAGCTTAACATCTCATGAATGTCTTGCTGTGCACTTGGATGTAGACACTGATACAATACGGGAAACCGCTGACTTATCTGCCACCTGCTCTGTATGTACTGAATTGCGAAATTCCTAAGGTTACGATATTGAACTGCCCCTTTGTTCTTGTTGAAAAATTACAATCTGCAATGCGTTCTCTGCAGGAGTACTGGCACTAAGCAGAGGATCAGACTCAAAGCGTGGGATTGTATGTGTTGTAATCAGTGTTTTAAATAAATCGGTTTCAACCAGAAAACTGCTGAATGCATTCTCATATGGATCCTCACAGCAAAGAAGTTCATATGGCTGAAAATGCGAGTGTTTAAAACTCTACATATGCACATGTAACCCCCCCCCCCCCCCATTCATATGAAGGTTTGCATGAAGCCAGGTGCCCGCTGAGACAGGGGAGATATCAACTGTAAGCTCTTTGATGTCTTTAAACCTGCAAAACCCGACGCAAAGTCTCCCATGCTGTAAATCCAATGTGGCTGGGTATTAATCGATTAAACAATCATCCATTAATCATCCTCGCTCTCAGCTTCCATTAGCAGGCATTGTTTTAAAATCTATTTCCCATTCATGTCGGTGACTGTGCTTTAATGAGCTGGACAAGACTGATGTGGCAATGAGAGGCAAAGTATTGCAGGTTTCAGCTCAGAATGCTCGGGCAGTATTAATTACATTGATGATGGCGGAGCTCAGGAGTCAAAGTACACCATTGACGGATAGTGTTATTAACATGCTGGTGTGATTTGATGTGATGCTTGTTGGAGCCACTGTTGTTTCAGCATTGCTTAACTGCTGCTGGGATTTCTCTCCATCTACAGAGAAGTGTTTGAATGTCTACAACATGATGTCTGGAAAGTTGATGATTCAAAATCATTTCCCAAAGAATCCTAAATGCAAGTTCCAGTTGCTAACTTTTTTTAACTGTGTAATGACTGCCTCAATGAAAACTGAGTAACTGAGCAAACTTGATCTACTGAGGAAGACCATGAGATGCAGTTTGAAGCCAATGGGAAAAAAATCGAGTAAGCGGAACTTTAGGTAACTTTTTATATTGAAATATTTTAGATCAATTTTACATTCCATACCCACGGAATTTGATGGTGATCCCATTTCATAAGACAGAAATAGGGAAAAAAGAGCAATATCATGTCGGACCGCACAGAAACAATCCTACTCGATCATGGAATCAAATAATTCAATTTTGATTACAAGTGCCAACGTGTTGTTTTATAACACTGGAAATAAATAGCAAAAGTTTGAAATTTGTTGTCCTATTACTTCCTTCCTGTTATTTTTGATGTCATTTCATTTTCTTTATGTGATTCATTTTTTTTACTTTTGCTGTTGTGATCTTGACATTTTTGTCATGATAACAACAAGATGGATTTTTAAGCGCCTTTAAGGGTTTTTATCTCTAACTTATTGGAAGCGCTCCTGCAGCATATCAGACACCCATCATCCATCCACCATCACAACCACCCACCCATCCATGAATTCGCTGATCCATCTACGCAACCATCAATTCATGCAGCCATCTATCTTTCTCAGCTCATTTTGCGTGCTTAAGGGCAACAAATTAAATCAAAAACACACACCATAAGCGCTGAAATCATCATTAGGATAACGTCTTACTGTGGCTGTATTCACCCTCACATGGTTCCTCCGCTCTGCTCCTCTGGATTACAACACAATGACATTCATTTAATCATAATATACTCTTCTCCCAACTCTATTCACCAGCTCCAACATCTGTGTGTGCCTTCAGCTGTGAGCATTGTGTGGCATTTGGAAAAATAAAATAAAAAATCAACTCAAGTCTTACTAATTACCTCCTAGTTCCGTAGCTCGCTCATCGCACATTTCCTTTGAAAGTCAAACACAATCTCTGCGTGTGAGCTCGACGCAGCAGATGAATCGTCTGGATGTTTTAAAGAAACATGAGATTTGTCATTCTGCCAAGAGGCTGCTCCTTCCTGGGCATTTAGAGAGAACGTCCTCTAGTTTGTACACTTCATCAAATTTCGTTGCTGAGTACGAGGCCTGTTTTTTTTGCCTTTTTCTTGTCCTTCGTCCAGGCCTATAACCACGCAGTTATTCGTACACCCATTACTAAGTTTATGTGTTTGTCCTTTTTTAAGTTCTCCGAAACTATTTGCTAGTTTCAAAGTAGTGATTTATGAAACCCGGTTGCAAAATTTTAAAACTGAGGAAACTTTGTTTTAATGTGTAAATCGGTTGATAAATGCAAACAGTGTAACAGAAAATAATTGTAGCATAACAAACTGTAGCATAGCTTTGAAATATAACCAAAAAAAAGCCAAATGATACGACATTTAACTGACAATATTTTGTACATGTAGCTTTGACTATCTTTTACCTATATACATGTTAAACTGTGTGTGCGTTAGTTTTGAATGAGTGAGGCATATTCGATTACGCTAACATAGCCAACGTTATTTGGTCATTTACCGAACATTACTTTTTTGGGATGTAAAATCCTTCCAATTTTACATCATTAATCAGCATTTTGATCAAGTGTGTCGCTCATATTCCATCTATTCCCTCTTGTACTCTTCAATCTAGCTAAAAGGTTCATGCTATATTAGCAAACTAGCATTAGCCTAGTCAGTCAGCTACTGTCAACTCAATCTTCCTTTTATAAAAGAACTGCTCTATTCATAATCAACATAAGGTACTAACTCAAAACACTCAGGGGGTTTGCTGCTACAGTGTACTTGGTCTGGTATGACCAGTAGCTAACGGTGGCTAATAGTGATGCACAGGTCAGCGTTTTTTTGTTACCCACCCCCACCTGCACTGTTATGAGAGCCAATCCACCCCGTCTATTGCATGCAGTGTTGTAGTCAAGACCACCTAAACTGAGACCAAGTCATGTCCAAGAACAGAGTGTATCGAGACCAAGTCAAGACCAAGACCAGACCTGAGCAAGTCCCATACTGCGTGACACACTTAGGATTAAATATGCAAACCATATAGGCACTCCTCAAATTGATCTGACAGATCCATATTCCCATTAAAAAACATATGGAGATTCCGCTTCATTATGTATGTGTGTACCATGACAAATATCTTGATAAAATAATCAAGAGGTATTGCAGAGGGGAATTTGATGTGTGGGAATTATCCTTGGTTGTCTATTAGTAATTAAATACAAACAAACACTAAGGAGCTGACATCCACTTAACCATCTTTATTCAGTACTCCTTCCCACCACCCATCTAATACAAAGCTTTTTTTTTTCTATTGTAGGGCATATGAAGGGGGATGGTGACCACTCCTTCATAAACCTGAGACATTTCCTTGACAAAAGGGATGAATAGTTAACAAGGCTTACACATCTCGAAGGTTCTTTTGATCCTCTCGATACTGGATCTACACTATGGTTCTTGCCAGTATATTGGCCCCTGGAGCTCCTCACCGTGACCTCGTTTTTAGTATTTTAAAGAAGTCAATAACTGTGTGTAGTGTAGAGTGTTTACTGCACAGTCATATCACAAGGCTGCGTGCCTTCCTTACATTTACCACAAATCGACATTTCTACACATGGCCTGAAGGTCAACAAGACCATTAGAGACCGTTTTCTGCAACAACACCTACATGCTTACAAGAGATCAAAAGCACACTCCATTAACCTCCAGCAGGTCCAACTTTTGGTCTTAGAAGTGTTTCAGCAAGACATATGTGGCCATCGTTACACTTCCATTCTTGCCCGACTGAAAAACTGTCAATCTAAACGTGTCAGTCTTTAACTCTTTCCTCTCTTTCAACAAGTGATTAGATCTAAGTGGAACTAAAAATGTGATCACAAAAATAGAGCTGAAACTTATATGACAATAAGTGGACTTTGGGTTTCTAAATCATATTTGTTATGACAGCAAAATGTAGATATGTTAAATCGTTTTACTCAGCGCAATATGTTTTATTTTCTCACACTTAATGTCCAGAGTACACTTACTTTTCAGCTCCATTTGGCTTCACATTAATACATTTACACACATGTGTTGATCAGAGCCACCGAGTACAACCTTCTAGTAATCCCACCAGGAGTTAAGCGCTCTGCTCAGCTGCATCTCAGTCTGTCTCGGGGTAGTAATGTGAGGAGAGAACACTTTTGTGTCGTTTTCCCTGGATCTTCCAGTCAGAATTCTGCTTCTCTGTAACTTGCCCAAAGGCACCAGAGGTGTTAGCAGAATCTCAAAGACAGAAACGTCCTTTACCTCCAAATTTTTAGAACTCCTGCCTACATGCTCACTCTCTGGCTAAGCAATGAGTCCCAGACTAACTATGATCCACCACCACCCTGGAAGGCAATCAAAGCTGTTGGTCTCTTCCATCAGTGGTTGGACAGATGAAATGGTAATTAAGAAAAACATAAAAGTGAGAGGTGCTTCAGGTAAGCTTCCTTTTCTCTGCATCTTACACAAACAGTATTTATTGTCAGTCCCAGAATTAATTTTGTGGCGGCGAGGAGGGTTTGCTGCAGTTTTCCTTCTCGTTCATCTTATACCAGGCTTCCACTGCAAGCTAATGGCCAAATGAACATTGACTTATACTCCACCTGGTCTCATTAGACCTGAATTGCTTTAGTATTGTACATAACATTAAGCCAATATTGATGCCGAGACCAGTCGCCCCCGTTTGTGTAAAACCTCTGGGCCGAGCCTAGCTGGGTGGGCCGAAAGTAAGGTGTAGGAGTTGGTGAGGGGCTGTATACCAATCTGTCCCCCTGTGGAGCTTTATAAAGATTAAACGAAATTAATTAAGTTCCTGTTAGTCTAAATGACTTATCTGAGGTCCAC